TGAGTCCTTTCATGGATAAGGTATCAACTGAGACAATCCAAGGCTTTCCCACAAAACTTACATTTATAAGGTCCATCTCCGCTGTGCATTACCATTAAAGATTTAGAGGCTCTCAGTACTATGTATATCTATCCCTGGTGCATTGACAGTGACTGAAGACCCATTTTTCAGGACACGCTGTGTAGGACTGAACCAGGGAACATGATATAGCATGGCACTTTTATCTCACATATAACCCCCAAGGAGCAGGGTTAACTGAAATGAAAGATGGTCTCAGGGGAAGCTGTAAATGAGAAATTCTGTAATAGAAATTATGACTTAGGCAGGCCGGGTGCGGTGGCTCATGCTTGTAATCCCAGCACTTTGAGAGGCTGAGGCCGGCAGATCATGGGGTCAGGAGTTCAAGACCAGCCTGGCCAACATGGTGAAACCCTGTCTCTACTAAAAATACAAAAATTAGCCAGGAATGGTGGCACGCGCCTGTAATCCCAGCTACTTGAAAGGCTGAGGCAGGAGAATTGCTTGAACTGGGAGGCAGAGGTTGCAGTGAGCCAAGATCATGCCACTGCACTCCAGCCTGGGACACAGTGAGACTCTGTCTCAAAAAAAAAAAAAATATGTTTTAGGCATCTTTTTTTGAGATGGGGTCTCACTCTGTCATCCAAGCTGGAGTGCAGTGGTGCGATCACTGCTCACTGCAGCCTCAACCTTCCAGGTTCAAGAAATCCTCCCACCTCAGCCTCCTAAGTAGGTGGGACTACAGGTGTGTGCCACCATGCCTGGCTAGTTTTTTATTTTTGGTAGAGATGGGGTCTCATTCAGTTGTTCAGGTTGATCTCAAACTGCTGAACTTAAGTGATCCTCCAGCCTCAGCCTCCCAAAGTGTTGGGATTACAGGTGTGAACCCGGCCTCTTGGGCATCTTCATTGCTCCACACCTTAAAACGATAAATTCAATATTCCATGAATATTGCCTGGAGAAATTAGCACAGCCATAACTTGTGATAAGGCAAATCAGGTGTTGAAATTTAAACATTCCTGGAAACTTCATTTAATAAACCTAATTTTGCTTATGTGTGAAAGTACTCATACATATTCATTGTTCAGACATGGATAACCATGGCAAGAAGATGAGGTGCTATGAAAAATTATGTTGGGACAACAGGTACTATCCAGGATTCTCGTTGGCAAACGAGGACACATGGTCAGATGATTTCTGAGGCAGCTTCTCTCCTGTGTATGTCCTTTCATGTCTGCGAAAAGAACTGGAAAAACTGAATGATTTCCCACACTCCTTGCATTCACATGGCTTCTCCCCAGTGTGAGTTCCTTCATGGATTCGAACAGAACTGTGCCAGCTGAACGCTTTACCACATTGTTTACATTCATATGGTTTCTCTCCAGTGTGAGTCCTTTCATGGATAAGGTATCAACTGAGACAATCCAAGGCTTTCCCACAAAACTTACATTTATAAGGTCCATCTCCGCTGTGCATTACCATATGTCTTCGAATGTTTGCAGGAGAAATGAAAGATTTTCCACATTCCTTACAATCAAAAGGTTTCTCTCTAGCGTGAGGCCTTTCATGTGTTTGAAAGCAGCGGCTATCGCTCAAGGCTTTCCCCCGTTGTTCATGCTTCTATGGCTTCTCTCCAAATTTCTGACACTTACATGGTTGGTGTCCAGTGTCGGCTCTGATGTGCCTGTTAAGGGATGAATGTCCCATGAAGACTTCTCCACACGTACCGCTTTCACATGATTTTACTCCAGAAACAGTTTTCTTGTTCAGCATGTCTTCCGGAACCTGGGTGAAAGTTTCTCCACACTGGCTACCTTCTGTACTCTCAAAGAGGCTCTCTCCCATAAAATTTCTGTGCAAAATGCCAAGCACGTAATTAAGGGTCTGTTTATAAGTGATTTAATATTTGTTAATAAGTATTACACTTGCATTTTTAATGTTTTTGGTTTTTTTCGTACAAAGTGTCGCTCTGTTACCCAGGCTGGAGTGCAGTGGCGTGATCATAACACACTGCAGCCTTCACCTCCTGGGCTCAAGTGATCCTCCCACCTCAGGTTCCCCAGAAAGCTGGACTACAGCTGTGTGCCACCATACCCAGCTAATTTTTTATTTGTGGTAAAGATAGAGTCTTGCTGTGTTTCCCAGGTTGATCTTGGGCTCTTGACCTCAAGTGGTCCTCTTGCCTTGGTCTCCCAAAGTGCTGGGATTACAGGCATGAGCCACCATGTCCAGCTGCATTTTTAACATTATTCTGCAAAGTGTAGGCTTTCTGCCCTGTCTGAATTGTTTAAACATGAATGGATCACACATTCTACAAGAAGGCCTGTCTATATCTATCATCAAAAAAAGAATATTTACATGAGGTTTCTTTTTTTTTTTTTTTTTAGATGGAGTTTTCCTCTTGTTGCCCAGGCTGGAGTGCCATGGTGGCGCGATCTTGGCTCACTGCAACCTCCGCTTCCTGGGTTCAAGCGATTCTCCGGCCTCAACCTCCCGAGTAGTTGGGATTACAGGCATGTGCCACCATGCCTGGCTAATTTTGTATTTTTACTAGCAACAGGATTTCTCCATGTTGGTCAGACCGGTCTTGAACTCCTGACCTCAGGTGATCCGCCCACCTTGGCCTCCCAAAGTGCTGGGATTACAGGCGTGAGGCACCGCGCCCAGCCCGAGCTTTCTTAATACTATTTCCAAGTAAACTATCTTATGAACATTAAACCTCTATGTCAACTGAAATACGTTTTTAGAGAAAATTTTCTAAGAATAAATACATTTTATGCTGAGCTTATTTCTTTTGTTGGCTTCTTTTTAACAATTTCTGACAGTCTGAGATTTTCTTCAGAGACATTTCTTTGTCTTGTGAGTGTAAATTACCTTAGAGTCCTCCTGGGATGTTTGTGCTGATCTTCAATATTCTGGTCTTTCCATTTTTTCCCTAAAATATAGACCCAGAAAAATAGTCCTGAATTAGTATACGATTATTTAAAAATCATTAGCTTCCATGTTTATGGGACACTGCAGCCATGCCTGATTTGTTCATCGAAGGATTGCCTATCCATATTCCAAATCCCCGAATAGCACTAATGAGCTAGAAACATGTGTTCCTTAATTCACTGAGGGAGGTAATATTGTCACCCCTACCTACAGAGATGAATTTCCTGAAAGTTTCCTGCATCGCATCTCTGTAGAGATTCTTCTGGGAAGGATCCAGCAAAGCCCACTCCTCCTGGGAGAAGTTCACAGCCACATCCTGAATCCTGAAACATCCCACAGGTGCAGAGGAGGATGGGTGAGATTGACAGCACTGGGATCCTAGACTCTATTCCTAAGAAATTCTCATGATGCTGTGGACTCCAAACATGTATTCCCTGCCTCTGTCATCAGACCTCTTACTCTCCTGTCTACACTCACTTCCTCTCAAACAGCAATTTTGATGCCAGAGTGGAACTATGGGGTAAAGCAACAGCAAAATAGGAAAATGTAGCCTTCTGCCACGTGAGGACACAGCAAGAGGATGGAGTTCATGAGGAGCGGACCCTCTGGATATGGAACCTGCCAGTGCCTTGATCTCTTTTTTTTTCTGAGATGGGGTCTCACTCTGTCACCTAGGCTGGAGTGCAGTGGCACAATCTCGGCTCACTGCAACTTCTGCCTCCTGAGTTCAAGCAGTTCTCCTGCCTCACCCTCCTGAGTAGCTGGGATTGCAGGCGCGCGCCACCATGCCCAGCTAATTTTTATATTTTTAGTAGAGACGGGGTTTCACCATGTTGGTCAGGCTGGTCTCAAACTCCTGATCTCGTGATCTGCCCATCTTGGCCTCCCAAAGTGTTGGGATTACAGGCGTGAGCCACCGCGTCCAGCACGCCTTGATCTTAGACTTCCCAGCATCCAGAACTATGGAGCTGAATTGGCCCTCCTCCCTTGAACCTGTACTGGACTTAGTGACTCACTTCCAAAGAACAGAGTATGGAAAGGGGAAAAAATAGTAACTTTAAAGTGGAGAAACCTGAAAACACTGCTTTAAGCAAGTGATCAAGGTTACTGTCACCAGCTGTATCTAGTGATGAGCCTGGACACTTCACCTTTGTGGCATTCTCCCGCAAAACACCTAACTCCAGTCTAATCATGAGAAAAATTCCAAAATGAGGAACATTCTATGGATACCTGACCAGCACTCTTAAAGCTGTCAAAGTGATTTTTAAAAAACAAGGAATGACTGAGAAATTGTCACAGAACAGATCAAGGAGACATGAGGACTACATACAGTGGGGGTATACTGGATTGGGTCCTGGAAAAGAAAAAGGATATTAGTGGAAACACTGTTGAAAATCTGGAGTTTCATTAATAGTAATATATAAATGATAATTTCTTAGTTTTAATGGACCATGGTTATGTAAGATGCTCACATTAGAAGAAAATGGGTGACGGGTATATGGGAACTTTGTATATTATCTTTACAACTTTTCTATATATCTAAAATTATTCCAAAATAACAAATTTATGGCCAGGCATGGTGGCTCACGCCTGTAATCCCAGCACTTTGGGAGGCCAAGGCGGGCAGATCACCTGAGGTCAGGAGTTCAAAACCAGGCTGGCCAACATGGCAAAACCCCATCTCTACTAAAAATACAAAAATTAGCCGGGTGTGGTGACAGGCGCCTGTAATCCCAGCTACTCAGGGAGGCTGAGGCATAAGAATCACTGGAACCCAGGAGGCAGAGGATGCAGTGAGCCAAGATCGAGCCACTGCACTCCAGCCTGGACAACAGAGTGAGACTCCATCTTAAAAAAAAGAATAGGAAAATGTATCTTTTTGGTGAATCCGGAGAGAAAGATGTGCTTCCTGGGTACCCCTAATGTCTCTTTGCACAGTGGGTGTGTAGCATCTTTCGTAACAGAGTCCTACTAATTCATGTGCAGAAAAAAAGCTCACAATAGCAGTCCTGAGACTACATATCCTTGAAAATGTTTATTCACAAAGTTTAACCTTTGATAGTATCTGGAAAGTGGATTTGATTCTGATTCAAACAGCACAGGCGAATGCAAAAACAAACAAAAGCTGAATTTTGCATGGGATCTCACCGACCCAACTGATTAAGAGAGTCATAACTAACTGAAACAGAAACCATGACCAAAACCATTTGGGAAATAGTACTGGGGTAGGACAACATAAATTGTGATTGATGAAGTGCTGAAGGCTGAATGGGGACAAGGTTTAGAGGTAAAAACTCTGTGGGGGCAGTCTTAACAAAAAGGCAATGTGATTTATGAAAATTAAGAACTTTTGTGTAGGGGAACACACTGTCAACAAGGGAAAAGAAAACTCATCAATTTGGACACCACACCTCGGCTAATTTTTTTTGTATTTTTAGTAGAGACAGGGTTTCACTGTGTTAGCCCAGGATGGTCTCGATCTCCTGACCTCGTGATCCCGCCCACCTCGGCCTCCCAAAGTGCTGGGATTAGAGGCGTGAGCCACCGCGCCTGGCCTATTTATTTATTTCATAGAGATGAGGTCTCTCTATGTTGCTGGGCTTGTCTTAAAAACTCTGGACTCAAGTGATCCTCTCCATTCGGCCTCCAAAATGCTGGATTACAGATGTAAGCCTGCACGCCAAGCCCTAAAGTTTTCGTTTTTTTGAGACAAGGTTTCACCCTGTCTCCCAGGCTGGAGTGCAGTGGTGCCCTCGTGGCTCACTGCGGCCTCGGATCTTCGGGCTCAGGCAATCCTCCCACCTTGTCTCCTTAGTAGCTGGGACTACAGGAATGTGCCACCATGCCCAGCTATTTTGTTTGTTTGTTTTGTTTTCAGTAGAGATGAGGTCTCGCTATGCTGCCCTGCCCACTCTGGTCTTGAGCTTCTTGGCTCAAGCAATCCTCCCACCTGGGCTCCCAAAGTGCTGGATTATAGGAGTGAGTCACTGTGCCTGCACTAAATTTTTTTAAAAAATGTTTTCCTTCCCTGTCTCTACTAAAAATATTAAAATTAGCTGACATGGTGGCATATGCCTGTAATCCATCTACTTGGGGAGGCTGGGCAGGAGAATGGCTTGAACCCAGGAGGCTGAGGTTGCAGTGAGCCAAGATCGTGCACTGCACTCCAGCCTTGGGCAACAGAGTGAGACTCTGTCTCAAAAAAAAAAAAAGGTTTCCTTCTTTTCAAAGGTGTTGATAACATTTTTAAATAGTGCCATTTATTGGTCTGTGGGAAAATGATAAAATATGGCAGCTGTTTCAAATGTAGCATGGGAAACACATCATTGATAAGGATGTCAATTGGAGAGGGGAGTTGTGTTTTTGAATGTGAGGAGAAAACCAGAATTTAGGGATTTACTGTCATACCTGGGAAGAACAGGCTGA